TGGGCTTAGGCAATACTCTTACATCAGCCTCCCGAGTAGCTGGTACTACAGGCACCCGCCACAACGCCTGGCTATTGCAGTTTGATCAGGGCCGGGTTCGAACCTGCCACTCTCAGTATACGGGGCCGGTACCCTACTCACTGAGCCCCAGGTGCCACCCCCAATATCTTTTTTAGGAAATAGAAGAAAATAATACTAAAATTCTTATGGAACCAACAAGACCCAGTCAAAGCTGTCTTGAACCAAAAGGATACACTTGGAAGCATCATACAACCTGACTTCACAATCTATTACAATGCTATCATAGTCAAAACAGCATAGAATACTAAAATTCTTATGGAACCAAAAAGACCCAGTCAAAGCTGTCTTGAACCAAAAGGATACACTTGGAAGCATCATACAACTTCACAATCTATTACAATGCTATCATAGTCAAAACAGCATAGTACTGGCACGAAAACAGCATATTGACCAACAGAACAGGATGGAAAGCCCAGAAATAAACCCTCACATCTACAGTCAATTGATTTTTGACACAGGTACCAAGAACACAAGGGGAAAAGGACACTTTCTTCAATAAACAGCATTGGGAAAACTGGTCCTTACCTCATACCATATACAAAATCCAACTGAAAATGGGTTAAAGACATAGATGTAAGATTTGAAACTGTAAAACTACTGGGAGAAAAAAAGGGAAATTCTCCACAAAATGGGTCATGGATATGAATCTAAAAGCACAGGCAACAAAAATATTTTAAATAGAATTGCTTTAAACTAAAAAGTTTCACACACAAAGGAAATAATGTTATTTAATAGAGAGAAAAGAAAACCCATGGATTGGGAGAAAATACCTGCAAATCATACCTCAGATAGATGACTAATATCTAAAATATCTAAGGGATTCAAACAATGCAGTAGCAAGAAGCAAAGAACCCAAGTAAAAATGGGCAAAGGACCTAAGTAGACCTTTCTCAAAAGAAGATACACAAATGGCCAACAAACTTAGAAAAAATGCTCAACATCTAATCATCAGGAAAAAGAAAAGTAAATGCAGTAATACCTCACACTGGTTAGAATAATTATGATCAAAAAGATGGGCAAGGTAATGAAGACATGAATTATCAGAACCTCTGGGATAGCGCAAAGGCAGTCCTAAGAGGGAAATTTATAGCACTGCAAGCCTTCCTCAAGAGAAAGGAAAGAGAGGAAGTTAACAACTTAATGGGACATCTCAAGCAACTGGAAAAGGAAGAACATTTCAACCCCAAACCCAGCAGAAGAAAAGAAATAACCCAAATTAGGGGGAGGGGGAGGGGATGGATGGGTGGAGGGAGGGTGACTGAAGGGATCACTTCTATGGATTATCTTTCAAGGGTACAGTGAATCTTTCTTAAAGTAGAATATAAACGTCATAGCACAATAACTAAGAAAATGGCATGAAGGCTATGCTAACCAGTTTCATGAAGATATTTCAAATTGTATGTGAAAACATCACACTGTACCCCATGAATGCATTAATGTACACAGCTATCATTTAATAAAAAAAAAAAGAAATAATCAAAATTAGAGCAGAGTTAAATGAAATTGAAAACAAAAGGATTATACAACAGATCAATAAATCAAAAGGTGGTTTTTTGAAAAGGTTAATAAAATAGATAAACCTTTGGCTAACCTAACCAGGAAAAAAAAGAGTTAAATCTCTAACTTCGTCAATTAGAAATGGTAGACAAAATAACAACAGACCCCTCAGAAATTCAAAAAATCCTTAATGAATATTACAAGAAACTTTATTCTCAGAAATAGGAAAATCTGAAGGAAACTGACCAATACTTGGAAGCATGCCACCTTCCAAGACTTATCCAGAAGGAAGTGGAAATGTTGAACAGGTCTATATCAAGTTCAGAAATAGCATCAACTGTACAAAATCTCCCTAAAAAGGAAAGTCCAGGACCAGATGGTTTCACATCAGAATTCTACCAAACCGTTAAACAGGAACTATTACTGATATTACTTAACCTTTTCCAAAATGTAGAAAATCTAGAAGGAATACCACCCAACACATTCCATGAAGCAAACATCACCTTGATCCCCAAACCAGGAAAAGACCCAAAAAGAAAAGAAAATTATACACCAATATCACTAATGAATATTGATGAAAAAAATATTCAACAAGATCCTAACAAACAGAATCCAGCAACACATCAAACAAATTATACACCATGATCAAGTGGGGTTTATCCCAGGGTTCCAAGGCTGGTTCAACATACGTAAATCTATAAATGTAATTCATCACATAAACAAATTAAAAAACAAAGACCATATGATTCTCTCAATTGATGCAGAAAAAGCTTTTAATGGTATTTAGCATCCCTTCATG